TGCGCTTTAACTAGCTGAGCCACCAGGGAGGGCCACCTTAAAGCTTTTTTTGCCTCTCATTTCCTGTATTACTGTCTTTGTGTTTAATTTTTTTGTCATGAAACAAGTTCCTTTTTCATTTTCTTTTGTATATATTCTATAGCTGTTTTCTTTGTAGTTGCCATGGAGATTATATTTAACATCCTAAAGTTATAACACTAATTTTAACTTATGCAAGTTTGTCTTCAATTACATACAAAAGCTCTGCTCCTTTAACTGCTCTGTCCTCACTCTTTTCTTTGTTGATAGCACAAAATTATATCTTTATACATTGTGTCTAGTGGTGACTTTTCACTATAAAAGAAACTAACTTAATGCATGCAGTGTATGAACAAATTTCCAGACAATTATACGGAGTGTATAACATTTTAAAATGATGAATTTATAGAAAGGGAGAAGACAGATCAGTTGTCTGGGGCTCCAGAGGGGATGAGATGTTAGGAAAGTGGGTATGGCTATAACAAGATACCGAGAGAGAGTTGTGGTGATGGAAATAGCTTTTATCTTGACTGTATCAGTGTTGATATCCTGGCTATGAGTGTGTGATTGCCATTACCTGGCTGAGATTTGGGGAATCTGGGTAATGGGTACACACCACTGTCTGCCTTATTGCTTATAACTGCATGTGAAACTGTATCTCAATATAAAAGGTTTAATTTTGACAACATCTAAAGCTAATATAATTTATTCTGTAATAATTTGTTAATTCTGAGAGGAGACTACATCAGCAGTAATGTACATAATTATAACATCACTAAGAAAATCACAAGTAATCTTAAAAGAAAACTAATGACAAAAATTTCATTATCCAAGGAAATAATTTTTTTTAATCTACTGATGAAAAATTGTTAAGATTATAAGGGTTGAGAATGACTGAGCAGGATGTAGGAAAGTAAACACCCCAACATAGCGTTGGTGGGCCTGAAAATGCTTACATAATTTTTGGGAGGGCAATTTTGTGAGCTCTGATCAATAAAACTATGTCCTACAGCAATGCTTTTTAGAAGATGAACATGAATTTTTATTGCAGAATTTTTTGTAAGTGAATAATTATGAGGAAAGAAATCTTAACCACTTCCATCAGAAGAATGGTTAAAAATAATGTGTATTAATGTTATTGTTATGAAAAATTAGAGACGTTCTGATGAGGGTTAACCTCAACACATTCCCTCTGAACTTCACTCCCTAGGGCCAAATGAGAACAGTAAGAGTTCTATATATAGAGAAAACCTCCAAATTCAATGAAACCTTAAGGCGACACAATCATACACTGCTAACTCCGAAGAACTGCCAAAATGCACAGAAATTGGGGGTGGGAGGGGAATCCAGGGACAGACACCCAGACCTCTGCTGACCTCACACTGAGCACACAGCTCTCCAAAACGGGATGGCTCCAAGGCCCCCACTAATTACTTCACCGGCAGGTCACTGGGGCACCGCACCCCATTTCAGAGAAGCCATTATGGTGTGGCTAGTATCCCAACAACAAAGGGTGAGTGTGGAAGATGCCCGGGAACATAGAGGCCAGATTGGGGAAGTCTGGGGACAGGGAAGACAAGTGAGAAAAGAGAATGTTGGTTTTTCATTTTGCATTTCAATCTGTTCGACACTAAATTCGTGCATGTTTAAAATACAAGCAAAACTTGAGTGGCTGACCCTACTGCCGCCGAAAGCCAGGGTTCCAAGTTCGAATCCGACTTGTGCTCGTAAAGCCGTCCGCAATCACAAACTATTAGTTTCACCGTCAGTAAAAAAGGTGATAATCATCTACAGTAGCAGGCTACAAGGGTCAACATAAACACAAAGTCAATTGTGGGCCTCAATCCCGGGCCAGTTCGAAACCGCATCGCGATCAGGTTGTGCCGCGCCACGGCCGCGAGGCATCACGGGACTTGTAGTCCTTGCGCCCGAACTCGCTGTCCCTTCAGGCCCGGCGGCGGCGGCAGTGCTACGTGGCTCAGCCGGCTGCGCCTGCGCGGGCAGGTGGGGAAGATGGCTGCTGTGCAGGGTGTGCGGGCTGTTGGGCATAGGCCTGGAGCTGGGTTGGCCGGGATGTTTCGGGCTCTCCTGCTGCTGCTGTGGTTTGCGGCTCGCGGAAGCGCCCTGTATTTCCACATCGGAGAGACGGAGAAGAAGTGCTTTATTGAGGAGATTCCGGACGAGACCATGGTTATAGGTGCGGGGGGAGGGGGAGAGTTTGGATTTTGGGGCTCCGGGTGTGGTAAGTTAGCTGTTCACAGCAGGGAGCAGCCGGCCGCGCGGTCCTGGCGGCCGTGGACCCTGCGCCATCTCGCGCTCTCCTGACCGGGCCTCGCTTCACTTTCCTCCAGGAAACTACCGGACGCAACTATATGACAAGCAGCGGGAAGAATACCAGCCGGCGACCCCCGGGCTTGGCATGTTCGTGGAGGTGAAGGACCCAGAGGACAAGGTGAGCTTGTCCGTTAGCCCCGAGCCCTCGGTCTACACTGCAGTGTAGGTATTGATTGGTACTTCCCCTTCTAGTTTCCGCATCTGTTAAACTGGCCAGAAGTTTGGTATTGGGAAAAGATACCTGGTTTTCACTCTGGGCCAAACTTGGGTTGCTGCGGTGCTAGCGCTCTCAGTTTCTTGACTGCAGCGTGGTTTCCCACCAAGTCATTTAACTTTGAGCTGTTTTCATGGTCTGTGAAAGGAAATTCACCTGTTTTTGTAGGTATGATGGGCCGACTTAATTGTAATGCTGGAATTTAAAGCCTTTTGTGACCTCTAAAACTGACAGACAAGTTACTTCCCAAAAAAGAAGGAACTTGCACTCCACATAATTATTTTTTTTTAAAGATTTTTTATTCATACAGAACTGGGGTACAGGCAGACATGCAGAGGCCATGAGAGGGTTCAACAGAGAGAATGGGGAGTAGAACGGGCCGATTGATGAAGTACACTGCTGAGGGGAGGAGCAGGCAGACAGGAGAGGTCTGCTGCGCCATGTGGGTCACTCTCTGGCAGGGGATTGAACACTCCCATGCTGAAGTTGCAGCTAGCTTCCTAGTGCTGTGCTTTAGCCCATTGCATCACCACAGAGGGGAGGGCCCACTCCACGTAATTTTGATTTTGACAATGATAGTAAAACACAGACAGAACCACAAAACCCTTAAGCTATTACCTTTCACTTAAAAACACAAACACACACACAGAAGTTGAAAGTGCATGGAAAACCCTTCCCCAGACAGTCATATGCCAGCCCCATGTCATATTTTGCTCTTGCCCCAAATAATTCAGACATGCTTTGGCAAATCTACTGAGTAGATTGTCTGTTTTGTGTAGTGGGGTGCCTGATGTTCTTAGAGGCACTTAGAGCTTTAAGTACAGTTTTTTCCAGCTCCATCCCTATACTCACTGAAGCACTTTCATCCCAGGTTATCCTGGCCCGGCAGTATGGCTCTGAAGGTAGATTCACATTCACCTCCCATACCCCAGGGGAGCACCAGATCTGTCTTCACTCCAATTCTACCAAGTTCTCCCTCTTTGCTGGAGGCATGCTGGTAAGTGTACTAATATGGGACTTAACTTTCATCCTGTATCCCCTGGCCAGGACTAAAGCCTGACATACCTTGGGTGTGAGATGAGGGTATTGGATTTTGTGCTCCAAATGAGACTGTGTTTTCAGTAACCATCCAGGACATGGTCGCTGAGTTCTGTGAATTGGCTGAGCATCAGCCAAGGCTTATTGTCACCTGTGTGACTTAGAGCCCCCACAGGGCTGGCCACTGAGGAGGCCTCTGTGAGGGTTGGCTAGCTGAACAGATGAAGGAGGAGGAGAGAGCATGGGGTCTTCCTCTTGCTCCCTGGCAGGAAGAAGGAGCAGGACTATCTTAATACCTGTATCTTACTTGCTTTCCCCTAGAGAGTTCACCTGGATATCCAGGTGGGTGAACACGCCAACGACTATGCAGAAATTGCTGCCAAGGATAAGCTGAGTGAGTTGCAGCTACGAGTACGGCAGCTGGTGGAGCAAGTGGAGCAGATCCAGAAAGAGCAGAACTATCAACGGGTAGGGGGATGGGCAGGGAACAGTGGGCTTCTTCCTGTAAACCTTTCCTGTTCCCACCCTTTTGCAACTCAGCCAGGACATACATGTCAGATTCATGATGAAACCATGAAGGTTGCATGGTTTGCATGGGTATTACTACTAATTCCACTTTGTAGTTAAGGGGACAGATTCTTAGGAGGTTGTCATTGCTCATAATCACAGTCACATATATAAAGTAATGGTCAGAATTGATACCAACCTCTTGGATACTATGTCTCCAGGGGCCCCCAGGACCAGAGGTTTCAAACTTCCTTATGTCTAGGAGCCAGGCAGGAACTCTGAATGAATGTTACATTAAGGACTAGTAGAACAGTGACCTGTCTACTCCAGAACAATTAATATTAATTGTCAACTCAGTTTAGCCTTTCAGAAGTACTAACCCTGGGTTTTAAGAGGAATTTGAGATTCAGAGTTTTTATGTGAAAATTTTCTGGGCTTTTAATGTCAACAAAACAGAGGGCCAAACAACACCTGTTTGGGTTGAATCCTACCTTGGGCTACCAGTTTGTAACCTGTAGCCACAGTTTTCAAGCAGCTCTTTGGGTGAGTTGGGAAGAGGGCTGAGTGAGACCACTCCTGGATAGCCATGCCTAGTGGAGTGACTGAGATACTACTACACCTTTCTCCTGGGTACCAGGGTAGGACCAGATGAAAACTACCTGACAGATGAGCAGCGAGACTTAGGAGAAATGAGTAGGTTGCTCATTTATATGTGAGAGTGAACACAGGTCCCAGACTGGGTGGCTCATTGCTCTTTGTGAGCACTTGGCTGGAACCTGGTAAAGCTTGTTGGCCCTGGGGCACCCTCTAGGGAGGGAACCTGGCACTTTAGAGATGGGACTGAGCCAACTGTGGGTCCTTTTCCATTCTCTTCCCCTACAGTGGCGAGAGGAACGCTTCCGTCAGACCAGCGAGAGCACCAACCAGCGGGTGCTGTGGTGGTCCATTCTGCAGACCCTCATCCTTGTAGCCATTGGCGTCTGGCAGATGCGACACCTCAAGAGCTTCTTTGAAGCCAAGAAGCTGGTGTAGCCATTGCAGGCCTCACCGGCCATCCTTCCTCCCTGGCTGGGGGAGAAAGGGCCTTTTGGAACTGACTTCTCTCTGACAGGAGACAGGAGTTACCAGCCGTGTATGTTCTGGAGGGGAGAGGGGCCACAGGCTGCCCTGGCAGAGCCTGAGGGCTGGCTTGTGCACTGCCTGCTAATGCTGAGCAGGTAGTGGGAAACTCCCCCTGCTCTGGGTTTTGGGCCCTTTGCAGTAATCACCCAGGGGCTGGTGAAGCAACTGGGAATACCATTGGCACCTCAGAATCGCAGTGTTACTGATCAGGGAAGTGAGGTGGTAGTGTGGGGTGGATGGGGGGAGGGGAGTGGGTGGGCATGCCAGTCTTCCTTTTGTCTTCCTTTGCTAACTTGAGATTTTGAGCAGGTTTGAGTGTGACTGCCACCCTGCCACCCTGGGAACCTCACTGTTCCCTCCTTAGTCCTAGAACTCAGCCTGCTGATCAGGGTGTGTGTATCAATTGAGGGTGGGGTAGAGTGGGTTACGGTGTGGGAAAGTGGCCCTGAGGTCGACCCTGGCATCATATGGTTGTCCTTTCTGGAGCTTTAGGAACCAGGGTTAAGCCAAGCAGAGGCTTTGGTGCTGGTTGGGACTGGGCCTACAGACTCTTAGTTACTGATTTCATTTTCAATAAGTCTACGTTTGTTACATTGGTTTCCCAATAAAAGAAATTGACTTCTTGTCTAGTGTGAAGTTACTCTTTTGTGAGTAGGCGAGACCGCAAGCTCCTTCACAAGTTGTCGGTTCTTCTAATGGGCAAAGAAAGCAGTTCACAATCCAAGATAAGTACCCACTTGTGATCTTCGTACTTTCCTGCAGCAGGGATAGTGGGTTGGTCCAAGACCAAAAAGTAAATCATGAGGTTGGGGCTCAACTACACACCATTTGGTCTTGTGCCACCTCCTATGTGATTGCCCTACCTTCCTTTCCAGAGTTGGTGGACAGAACTATGGATGCTGCAAGGAAGGGAAGGTAGTATGCATTGAAAAGAAGTGCTGGGCCTTCCCTGATAGTGCAAGGGGTTAAAGCACAGCACTATGAAGTGTTTCGCAGCCACTGCAGCATGAGTTCAATCCCCGGCCTGGGAGCTGACCCACTTGGTGCAGCAGACCTCTCCTGTTTGCCCAGTGCTCTCTTTAGCAGTGTATTTCAGTCAGTTCACCTGTTCTGTTCCCATTCTGTCTTCAGTGAATCCTCTCAGCTCCCACATACCTGGCCTGTACCCCAGTTCCGTATGCATAAATAAATCTTTAAAAAGAAAAGTGCTGCAAGTGTGGAAAGCACAGAAGTTCCTGGGCTGGCAGGGTAAGGCTGTCTGGCTGAAGTAATGGTTTGGGGTTACAAGAACCTTCAAGGACGAAGGATTCTGGTAAAAGAATTCAGGGTAGCGGCAGCATTGGGGGAGCAGAGGCAAACAGCTGGTAGAGAGATGGGGGATGCCATTGTTTCAGTGGGACTTCATGGGAAATTGTAAGAAAGCTGGAAAGGATGGTTAGAAATAGAAAGGGCCTTGGATCTTGCTGGTGGCACAGGGGTGAAAGTCTCAGCCCTATCAACCTATTGCCAGCTTTGAGGCATGAGTTCTACCCACATGGTGCAGCAGACCTCCTCTCACCCACTGCTGCCCTCAGCAGTGTGTTTCAGTTAATCTGCCTGTTCTGCTCCCTAGTGAAGTCCTTTCACTCCCTGTGCCTCTGCCCTAGATTCCAGTTCTTTTATACTTAGATAAGTGTTTTTTTTTTTTGTAAAGTAGTGGTGGCGGCCCTTCCCGGTGACACAACAGGTTAAGGCACAGCACTGGGAAGCTAAAGCCACTTCGGTATGAGTTTGATTCCCGCCTGCCCTGAGAGGATTCACTGAAGACATGGTGCAGCAGACCCGCCCACTGCTCCCCTCAGCAGTGTACTTCATCGATCTGCCTGTTCTGCTCCCCACTTTGTCTCTGGTGAATCTTCTCACTGCCCCTGTGCCCCTGGCTTGTCTCCAAGTTCTGTAGGCATAAATAAACCTTAAAAAAAAAAAAAAAAGTAGTAGTAGTAGAAAGGCCTTGAGCCCTAGTGAGAGGTTTGGACATTACCTGCCGTTCAGGGTTTTGAAAAAGAATCCCTTGGAGCTAAAGATGAAGGTTAATCCAGCAGTGAGGACAGGGTGGGAAAGGGTAGTGGGGAGGTAAATTTGGGGATTATTTGACCTGTGTAGAGGGTGTTAATCTGAGTTTACACTGCTGCCTGTACCAACACATTTAGAAAAAACCAAGTTCCATACTTTTTGGATTTCAGAAAAATTGCAAAGATAGTTTTTCATGATCAAGGTTGCACACTTGTAGGATTCATTTGTTAAATGTGCTTATGTCAAGATATTATTTTTTTCCAAAGATTTATTTATTTATGCATACAGAACTGGGGTACAGGCCAGAGGTGCAGGGACGGTGAGAGGATTCACCAGAGACAGAGTGGGGAGCAGAACAGGGCGACTGTCGAAATACACTGCTGAGGGGAGCAGCGGGTGGATCAGGAGAGGTCTGGCGCGCCATGTGGATCACCTCTGGGGCAGGCGGGGATCGAACTCATGTGGAAGTGGCTTTGGCTTCTTGGTGCTGTGCTTTAACCTGCTGCACCACCAGGGAGGGCCCTCAAGACATTATTTTTAAAAATTCCATACATCATGCTTCTTAATTGTTACCTAATGTACTATTTCTGTTCCAGGATTCTACCTAGGATATCATATTACACTTAGTTGTCTCCTTGAGCTTTTGACCGTGACAATTCCTCAGACTTTTTCTGTTTGTTGTTTTTAATTTGACAATTTTCAGGACTACTGGTCAGATATTTTGTAGAATTTCCCTCAGTTGGGATCTGCTATTTTCCTCATTATTAGATTGTGTTTCTGGGTTTTTGACAGGAAGTCCATAAGAGTAAGTGCCATTCTTACCCCATAACAACATGACTATGGATGTCACTCTTTAAAATTAGTTTGGATTAATTAAAAGTTAATTTGAATTTTTATTAGAAATCTGGTTTGTTGAGGTAAATCAGATCTGACATTAGTGGGTCTTCTGATGCAACAAAAATTAGCTGAACCAAATGGTGGGTGTATCCTTGGGCTTGCACATTCCAGGGCACAGTGCTACCTCCCTCTTCCATCATGGACCATATCCAGCTGGTATTCTTTGGGGTGTCATTCTTGTCATCAGTCACCACAGCTGAACTTGTCACAATTCTAATATAGGGTGCAGTACTCTGGGAAAGTTCTTACTCGACTTTCCGATTCATTGTGAGTCTCCCAGGAAGCAGAATGGCTGAGACCATAGGTTGTGCAAACAAGCTACCTGAATTTACATCCTGAATTGCTCTTAAGTGCCTCACTCCCTCATCTGTAAAGTGGACCTGATAAATACAAGACTCTTAAGGAATGGATGAATAAAGAATGTAGAACAATGGCACATGGTAAGAACTCAGTAAATGTTAGTTACTTATCAGGAGAATTAAAATTTGCCTGCAAGAGCAAGAGGTCATCAGTTGTAATTGCCATTCTCTTTTCCCAGGTGGGAGGTTGGCCCCTTGGGGGAGGGGCAGTTAAGTTCCCACAGTGACAAGGCAGGTAATTCAGTCTTAACTCCCTTCTACACTTCTCAGTTCTACCAAATTCCCCCTCCCCTATGTGATAGCTATCATTTAGATAGCGTAGACTATGTGCCCAGTATCAAGTATTAAGTATGTTTGCATTTTCTCCTTTAATTCTACGGCGCGTAGTTCAGCAACCATTTATTCACGTTGAACTGTTGGAACTGGCAGTGTCAGGTTTCAAATCCAGTCAATCTGTGTGTAATTCCTGCCTGCCTCCTCATTACTACTCGGAATATGGGCTGAACCCAAGACTGAGCCCTGAACTTGATCCTGCTCCCAACCTCTCCAAGCTTGTTGAGGAAGAAAGCACTACCTGGGTCTACGGCAGGGATGCCCAAGAAGCTCCCGCCTTCCTCAGGAAGAGGAGGAAGAGGCAGATTGTCTGAGCACAGATTTGGGCGTCTGGAGTCTACAACCAGCCTCTACCCAGTGCCTCGAGCCACTTTTAGGGCCTCAGATTCTCGGAACGTCAAGCGAGTCCCCAGAGAGCAGTTGGCAGTAGGTTACGCGTTTGGAGCGTTCTCGCCGTCCTCCGCTCGCGGAACCTTTACCGCCGCGGCTTAGGAAGCGGACGGCGTGACCGGAGCAACGGACTGAGCGGACCGAAGGGCGGGGCGGGCGGATCTGGGCGGGGCAGGAGGCGGAGGCGCCGCGTAGGCCGGGAGGCCGGGCCGGCGGGGCTGGGAGCTCGCGCCCCATGCGCCGCCACCTCCCCCCACGATGTTCCCCTCCCGGAGGAAAGCGGCGCAGCTGCCCTGGGAGGACGGCAGGTGAGCCGCGGTGGCCGGTCGGCCCCGTCCTCCCGGGTGTCCATCCCTTCCGGGCCGCCCTGCGGAACCTAGGAGCCCGAGGCCGTCGCGTCTCCGCCTTTTGCGGGGCTCTCGGAGGGTCTGTGGTTCTCCTTGTGAGTCATGGACTCTCCGTTTGTGGGTCTCTGACTCTGTGCGGGTCTGTCTGTCGTCACTCCGCGCTTTTCTGTCACTCCTGGGTCTGTGTTCCTCCGTTGACTTCCCTTCTGAGCTTCTGTCCCTCTCTGCGAGTTGTGGGTCTCCTCGTGTCTGTGTCTTTCTTATGTGGGTCCGTTGACCTCGCTCTGTGAATCCGTCTTTCTGGTCCTGACCTCTGAGGACCCCTTCATTTCCATGCATCACATCCATTTGGCTATAAACCCTACTCTCCGTCCTTCATGGATCCCCATCTTGTGCTGACTGCCCGAGGAACACACAGACAGAGTGCTGTTCATTATGCTCTGCTTCACTGACCATTGCCAGACTCTGAATAGTCACTCCCCACACCTAACACCGCTTCATTTCCGGTGCAGCAGGACTTGAATGTGATAGGTGTGAGCTTGGCCCCGACCTTTGCTAATGATGTTTCCCACTAAGGCACAGTGGGGTGGGGTGCTGTTCAAAATTTGAGCCATAACCAAAACTTAAGACCAAAACTCTTCACTCAGAACACATGATAGTGAATAACACCCCACTCCCTTTTTATCTCACCTTTGCCAGGTGCCTAAAAAATTTGGAGTATAGTGGGCACAACTCTTCACATATGGGCATTTTTGAGATTTAATGTTGAAGTAGGAAGATTGGACTGTAACAGAAAGAAAGCCTGTACCATGGAGTTGGCCCTGGGTAAAAACCCTCTAATAGCCACGTGACCAGAAGCAGATCAGTTATCTTCCGGCTCTCAATTTTCCCATCTGTGAAACAGGGATCATATGATCTACTCTGAGGGACTGTATGAGCATCACAGGGATTCATATAGGAAAAGTTCTTGACACTGTGCTTGGCACAGAGGAGGTTTTTTCCAATTGGGAGATACTATAAACAGTAGCTAAATAGTCAAACCTTGTATCCCTGAAGTTTGTGTAAGGGAAGAAAGGAAAGAGAATGGGGGGGGAGGATTTCCATTTCCTGATTTCTTTCATAGCCTTTGGAACTTAAATCATGTTCTCAGAAAATTTGAGAAATTGATAATGAATGGTTCCTGCTTTAGACACGGGCACAAAGATCCATGCGACAGATGCAAGTTAATGTAGCAAATACTGGAGCACTGGCTCTGGAGCCAGTCTACCAGGGTTTGAATCTCAAACTTTAGGCACAGCTATACAAGGAGACAAAACTTAACTGGAATACCCTTCACCGCAGGGTGTATTGGGCGAGAGATGTTGGGACTGCAGGTCTAGAGTTTGACACCAGGTGGCACTAGAAGCAACGGTTTTCAGTGGGCCCTATCCTGTGGAATTAGGACTTGGCTCTGTATTCATTTGCTTAGCTGTTTGGACCCTCAGGGCTCAGAATGAGAGTGTGTACCCATGGGAATGTGATCCTGGTGGAAAGAGGAGCTGGACCAAACTGACAGACTTGTGAAAGAGCATGGAATGCCTAATCCATGCCTTTCCCCTGGATAGTGATCACTGCTTCTTCTCCCCAAGGTGGGATGGTCCCCCTTGTCCATCTCCCTGGTCTCTACCCTGCCCCCAGAAAGAGCTCAGAAGGCAAGAGAGAATCTGTAGAGGTTCCAGTCTTCCCAGGCCAGTCCCAGGATTGGGTCTCACAGCTCCCAACCGGAAACCCCCACCACCTGACAAAGGGGGGTAAGTCAGAAGCTCTGCCTGACCCTCTCTGCTGTGTGTGTGACCTGTGCTTCGTTTTCTGGCTTCCGAGTTAGCAGGTGTGCCTCCTGAGAAAGGCATAAGTTGGTCTGGCTCTAATGTGTGACTAAAGCATGTCCTGGCTGGTAGACCCTTCCTGTAACTCACTTAGCAAGTGCTCTGCTGTCTGATGTAACTGGGGTCACAAATCCAGTTATCTGTGGGTGAGACAGGCAGGGACATAAGTGATCCCAAAACTCAAAAGTGCTTCAAAGTAAAATACCAGATCCCATGGGGACACAAAGAGGAGGCATGTGCTCAGTTTGTGTGCACATGATGATGGTGGAAGCACTGCTGGCTTTGACACTGGAGTTTGGCCCTGAAGGATCAGGGACTTCCAGGCAGATAAAATGAAGAAGGACACTCCAGACAGAAGCAGCTGGCTGTGTAAGCTTACAGAAGGAATATAGTGGCAGAAAAAACTGGGAAGGACCCAGTTTGATGGCCCTGCTGGAGTTGTAGGTAGCAACAGGAGATGGGGCTAGGTCACAGAGGGGTTGCACCACCAGGGCAAGGAATCTGACTTTTATTTTGTAAACAGAAGTTACTTATCTGAGAGCAAAGGGATCAGTCTGAGTAGGAAAAGGTTCAGGTGAGCCAAGCTGAAAAAGAGACTGGGTGAAGAAGGGCCAAAGGGGTGCTTAGGAGGTAGACTGACTGGTGACTCTTAGAGGCTTAGAGCAGATTGCCTTGCAGATAGTTTCAGGGGGAGCCGCAGAAACGACACTTCCTTTTCTTAGCATCCTCAACTCCGGATCTTTTAGGAAAAGGGATAAAAGAATCAGGTGAACACCACCTGTTTACTTGCACTCTCTGACCCAAAGGCCAGGCTCTTCCAGGACTAACCCACTGCTTGAGACATTCAGCTGTTGTTCCGGGTTCTGAAAAATGTCTGGGTCCTGTGCCTGGCTCTCACCCTTCTCCTGTCTCTCAGTTCTTGCTGCTGTTAAACTGAGGCTCTGAGGACCCATTTGATGAACTGCCACTGTCACTTTGGACCTTGCTTGGATTGGGGTAGATCTGAACTTCTCAGTGTAAACATTGGTCTTTTCTCTGGGACAGCCTCAGCCTTGGGAGCTTTGTAATCTGAGCAGCAGGATGAAGCAATTTCCGCTGGGACTGAACCTACTGGGAAACTGGTGTGGAAGGTGGTTTTTTACAAGGGCTCTTGCCATCAGCTCAGAGCATGAGCCACTGTCCTGGGGAGAAGCAAGTAGTAGAGGCAAGGCCTCTGGTTTCTGCCTTGAGCAGCTAAAGACCAATCACAGCAAGAAACAGCAGTCAGGAGCTGGGGCAGCTCTACTACTCATGAGTGGCCACCCAGCTTCCCAGAGGTTGAGCAGCATGGTCTAGGCTTGGCATGGTTAGCAGGATTCTGATGTAGGGGAGCAGCATGAGCAAAAGCATCAAAGTTGCTTCTGCACTAATTCCTAGGCTTTTGGGACAGACCAGTCATGGGGAAGCCAGAGGAAGAGTCTGTGCCGGGGCCCTGCCCTTCTGACCTGGCCCTGCTTTTGTCCCAGGTCCAGTTTGCTTCCCCGAGGCCTCCCCCGGAAGTGCTCCGTCTTCCACCTCTTCGTTGCCTGTCTCTTATTGGGCTTCCTCTCCCTGCTCTGGCTGCAGCTCAGCTGCTCTGGTGATGTGGCCCGGGCAGCTAGGGGACAAGGGCAGGAAACCTCGGGCCCAACCCGGGCCTGCCCTCCTGAGCTGCCCCCTGAGCACTGGGAAGAAGACGCATCATGGGGCCCCCATCGCCTGGCAGTGCTGGTACCCTTCCGGGAACGCTTTGAGGAGCTCCTGGTCTTTGTGCCCCACATGCATCGCTTCCTGAGCAAGAAAAAGATCCAGCACCACATTTATGTGCTCAACCAGGTGGATCATTTCAGGTATGGACCAGCTCCTGACCCATTGCCCCCTTCGCTAGGGGTCTCATCTTGCCTGGGGCATTGGCAGGAGGGTGGGTGGCAGTAGAACCTTCTCACTGGTGTGACAGGAAATTTGGGGAAGGTTTGAGATTGGGAAGGGTAAAGATCAAGTTTCCATTCTATAGATTATAGCAGAATAAGAGAAGCAGCGGGGAGTCCTGGGAGGTCACTGAGATGATGGTGGCCAGCCAGGTTGAAGGGGTTGGAGAGACGTTACATGGAGGAAGTGCAACCAGGGCTCACAGGTGGATCGCCTGTGGAGGTTAGGGAAAGGAAGGTCAAGGCCATAGCTTCAAGTTGTTCACTATTTGACTTTATCTTAAAATCCTTGCCCTTTCCATAACTACTTGTCTCCATGCTCACAGTCCATCTCACGCTCCACTCCCATCCTGTCACTCACTCCCATGGAGACAGACTCCAGCCCTTGGACCCTTCTGAGCACACTAATCTAGGACCCTGCCAGTTTTCACTGCCCACCTTTGTCTTTTCTTTCCCCTACCTAATTTGGATTCCAGGGTCTACCATTAAAGTCACTCGCCCACGTACATTTCAACTGTCCTGCCCCTTTCTGCCTGGGCAGAACCTCACAAAACCACACCTGGCTGTGGCTAGAGATGCTGCTGGTGGCTCTGACAGTGAGCTGGACCAGGCGCAGCTGAAGCCTACAGTCCCTCCAGTTCACTGCCTTCTCTGCGCATATTCATTCACACTTCCTCTCCCCTCTCCTCCTCTGCCTTTGCTTCTTATTTTAGAAAACAACCAACTGGAAGAGAATTTGCCTGAGTCCCCACCCACTGGGCTTGCCTCCTAGCTTCGCTGCATGCTGCCGTCTTTCTGCCCGTTCCAGCAGATGCCTTGTCCCAGCTTCTCCCCAGGGCCAGCTCTTCCACCCGTCCCACACTCTAACTCAGGACGTCCCTGCAGCCAATAGCTGCTTTCATTTTTTCCCCTATACCTGGCTTATTCACATCTGCATATAGACTTACAGATTTGCCGAAATAACACCCATCTAAAAAAAAGAAGAGGAAAAAAAAGAGCCCCCTTAACCCCACAACTCCAATAGCTATCATCTCGTTTCTCTGCTCCTCTCTATAGGGGAATTTCCTTGTCTCCGTCCTTGAGCTCTCTTGAACCTGTCCCACTCAGATCTTTACCCCCATCATGACACCAAACAGCTCTTGTTGACATCACTGAGCCCACCCCGTTAATCCAAAGAGCAGTTCTCAGCTTTTGCCAACCTTTTACTAGCATTTGCCAAGTGGATCACTCCAAAGCCCAGGCCTTTAGGGCCCTGCCCCCTTCTGAGCTCACCAAATCCCCTGCCACCTTGCTCAGCTTGGCCACACTGCAGTCTGCTCAGCCTCAGATCCTGGCAGTTGCCTCTCTGCCCAGAGCCCCTTTCCCCGTGTGGCTCAGCTCCTCAGGCCTTCAGGGTTCTGCTCACCCTGCCACCCCTCAAGGGTAGCAATGAGGTGCCCCACTGCTGCTCTGCAGTGCTCTGAAGTTTCCGGTGTGGTGGGTGCTCAGTCACATTTGGAGGAGTCCGGGTCGAGGCGCACAGGAGCGCTGGGCAACCCCGCAGTGAAGTCAGTGTTGGGCTGGTGGGCAGCCTGGGCACCGGGGCGGGTAGTGCTGGCAGACAGGCTCTCAGGCAGGGTCTGGGGAGAGCAGCTCATGGCCGCCCTGTGTAGGTTCAACCGGGCGGCTCTCATCAACGCGGGCTTCCTGGAGAGCAGCAACAGCACAGACTACATCGCCATGCATGACGTGGACCTGCTCCCTCTCAACGAGGAACTGGACTATGGCTTCCCCGAGGCTGGGCCCTTCCACGTGGCCTCCCCGGAGCTCCACCCGCTCTACCATTACAAGACCTACGTGGGCGGCATCCTGCTGCTCTCCAAGCAGCACTACCAGCTGGTGAGGCCCAGCTCAGCCTGCTGTGCCCAGGGCCAGAGCACACACCTGGGTGGGGCAGTGAGAGGCAGTTCTGAGGCCCAGCAGATGGAGAAGTCTTGCCCTGGTCACTCGGGGACATTAGAAGCAGCTATGAGAAAAGTGTTAGAACAAGCAGTCCCTTAGGGAGAACCCAAAGCAACCCCCTGAGCAAGCTGGCTTCAGAAAGCTTGGGTGGAGTGGTTTTCAATGTGGAAAAGTCTGGGAGTGCTGGCCCAGCCTCTAGTGTTGCCAGGATACCATTTCTCTTTCCATTTCTTGCTTGGACTAGAGTGAACTTATTTCTACATGTTCAGAGTGCAGGGTAGTCACAGCTGTAGCCTGCATCCAGCTAGATCCAAGTCCAGGGGAAGGTGACCCCCTTCCCCACAGCCCTGACAGGAGCCTCTGCACCTTGCCATTTGGCTCTTGAATTGCCCGGCATGTTCCTGGGCCATCCCTGAGTTGGCCATTGTGGGTGGGGTAGAGCTGAGTGGCACAGAGCCCAGTCTTCTACTCTTCTCTCTAAGCTGTGGCTGAAACCAGTTTATGTAAATGAGGTCCCAGGTCTGGTCATAAAAATGGGTGTCTGCTAGACAGCCAGTGGCCCCTCACAGACAAGGAGACCAAGGAAGAAGTAAGAGTATGGGGTGAGGGCAGGCACTTATGCCCATCTGGTTCCCCACAGAGGGGCCTTCCCACCTGCCAAACATTTTCGAGAAACCAGTCATGACACACCAGTTCAAAGCCCCATTGGATGGGTCTGGGAGGTGCAGCTGTCTCCCCAGCAGTAACTGTAAGCATTGAGTATCCATTCAGAACCCCCAGGGGAAGAGGGAAGAAGCCTGGCCCAGCTGGGGCTGGGTGTTCCTGAGTGGAGGAGACCACAGAGCACCCTGGGAGGATGGGGAGTGATGCTGCCTGTCTCTGTCAGTGCAACGGGATGTCCAACCGCTTTTGGGGCTGGGGCCGCGAGGACGACGAGTTCTACAGGCGCATTAAAGGAGCTGGGCTTCAGGTAATGCTCCCCTGCAGGCTCCGCCACTGGGGCTGCCCTGAGGGCCCCTTCTCTGCCCCAGATGAAGTTCCTGGACCTTAGCAGTGGCATCCCCAGTTCCAATTCCAGCCTGCCCCTGACTGCGCACCTCTTCTGCCTTGGTTGAAAGTGTGACCCCAAAAGACTAGTGCTGAGGGCTAGGGCTTAAGAGGGCCAGCCTGACCCAACTTCCTTTGGCCTCCTTAGCTTTTCCGCCCCTCGGGAATCACAACTGGATACAAGACATTTCGCCACCTGCATGACCCAGCCTGGCGGAAGAGGGACCAGAAGCGCATAGCAGCTCAAAAACAGGTGCTGGCTGGTTTCCTGATTGGGCACAGATGGGTGATGTGGGAAGCCAACATCATTTCACCAAGTTCTCCTTGGGCCCAGATGACCATTCTCCTGTTTGGCTCAGGACATTTAACAAGCATTCTGCTTGCGGCACCATGCCCTGCGCCTGTGACTGCTGTGGACACTGAGACCTTAGTGTCCATGCAGGGGGCAGAAGTGGTGCGGGGCTCAGCTGAAGGTGCCAGAACTTAGGCAGGCCTGAAACCCAGGGGTCCTCATTCCTCAACAGCCTTCTCTGGAGGCCATATTAGTCTGTTCCTGGTTCTCCAGCTGACCTGGGATGCAGTCGTGGGTGAGACTCCCATCTGCGAGCATCACTTCCTTTTCCCCTCAGTAGGATTCAGAGGACCTCTGATGACAAGGCCATGGGGAATCAGTAAACAGCTGGCAGCATGGAGCCCTGAGTGTGTGCTTTGTCCCCCTTTGCTTTCCAGGAGCAGTTCAAGATTGACCGGGAGGGAGGCCTAAGCACCGTGAAGTACAGCGTGGATTCCCGCACAACCCTGTCCGTGGGCGGGGCCCCCTGCACTGTTCTCAACATCATGTTGGACTGTGACAAGGCTGCCACCCCCTGGTGCACATTTGGCTGAATCATCTGGACAGTCTGAAAGCCTGCACCCACAGGCCATGCTGCTACTCAGGCCCTGGGCCCAGTTGCCACAGGAGGTGGGGGTGGCCTGAAGCAGTGGACAGTGAGCCACGTGTCTGCAGCAGCCTGAGGCAGTGAAGCCAGCACCGGACATACGAGGACACCTGGAATGCTGCTAGCAATAAACAATGATGGAGAGAGGCCTCATGTGGCTCCTGACTGGGACTCTCCACCCTGCCTACCTGCTCACCCTGCCCTGCCCTCTGGGTGCTGATGGCTGCAGGCTTTGGTTCTTTCCCTGGACCCTCGTGCAGAGATACAGTTTAGAAGCCGGCAGCTCACGTGGATAGCCACTGTGATTGTGAGGATTAAAACTGCAAGAGCCAGTGCAAGCCAATACTTGCTCCTGCATGATAGTTACCATGCAGGAGTGTAGGCCTAGTGTTGCCAGATCTGATTTTTTTTTTAAAAAAGAAATTAGAATTCTGGATTCTTAAGTGAAACAGTTAATTTTTACATGGTAACTAATGGAAACTTTAAAAAGTATGCCAGTCAAACAAAATGTGTTTGGGCCAGTGGTTTGTCACCTGTTGCTGAGGGGAAGGGGAGGGGAAAAAGATGATCCCTCTTTTAGTTATAACCTGGCAAGGACTCGGGGCAGGGTGGTGGGGAGAAGCACAAGATTCCTGCTGCCTCCCCAAGTTCTTCAGGCTTTGCTACCCTTGTGGACAAACTGATCACCAGCAGGGTCTGGTGGGGAGAAACTTTGGGAGGGAGCTTTGTCTTGCCTCTCTGAGATGGACAGACAGATCCACAGGACTGAGGATAGGCAGACAGCATCAGCAATGGCTAAGTAGTGGCATATGGGAGGGAGAAGATGGAGAAGGAGGGGAAACCATGGACTGTCTTATAACACGAGGGGAGATGACACGTGTCACTGAATGTCAAGGGAGAGGAGGAAAAAGGAGGTAAGGGAGACCATGAAATTGGGAGTGAGCTTAAGAAAGCCTCTGGAAAGAGGCTGAGGGCCAGTAAGACGGTGAGGAGTCCCTCAAGGTAGATCACAGCTTCAAGTCAGTTAACTACTGGTGATTTGGAGTGGAAGTCAGAGGATTTGGGACCAGTTAAGCTCCTGAGAGCAGGTGATACATTGGAGAAGGTAAAATTGAGCTCTCAGATTTCAGAAGGATGGTTTCAACCCAGCTACAGAAAGACTCCTCTAAGTGTGAACTTGAGACTCTGTGTACAATTGTGCAGGTTGTATGTTGTACGACTTGAATGTTTTAAGTTGAGATTTAAGCAATGAGTGACGTGAAGCTACAGGATCCACATAACTGTTCAGACATAAACAAGGGCCCTTGTGATTATAAATTGACCTTGTCCAGCAATTCAGCTTCACTCACTACAATGAGAGGCAAACAGTCCTCAGATACAGGCCAACGGTGGTAGGAGTAGCCTTCTCATCTTGAGTGAGACCCAGGAGAGGAGTGTGGCACATTGGCAGCATTTTATAGGCCAATTTGAACAACTCTTATAGTTGCCAAGTAGTAAGACTTAAAGGTGTGTGTGTTTTGGGGGAGGAGAGTGGGGGTGTGGGGAGAATCCTTTCTTTTCATCTGCACTGGGGAAGTGGAATGAGCAGAATAAAATGGGATGATCTGACCTAGCTAGGATGGGATGCATCTCTGCCCCCACAGCCCCTCACTCTCCATGGTCACTGCATCAACTCCATTATTCAGGTGCCAGTAGGTGCCTGGGCCAGGCCTGATGCAGCTCCCCTCCCTCCCTCCGCCTGGGCCTCTGCCAGCCACTCCAGGAGGGTCAGCAAGGGCAAGAAGCTTCCTCAGTGTCTTGATTGCTTCCTTGCTGATAGAACTAACTTCCCTGCCTAGTTGGCCAGTGCGGATGAACCTAGGACTTGGTTGCCACAGTTCATGGCCAAGATGGTGGTTATAATAATAACTAGTACTTGTTGAACATTCACTGCATTGAATATTTGAATCTTTACATTGCATATTTCACTTGACCCTCTGTACTACTACTTCCGAGCTCACTCCCAGGTATTATAGATGGTGATGGTGAAGCACAGAGCAGTAGTAGCTTGTCTACGATAACACAGCTGATAGTGGATACAGTGAGATAGGAATCCCTGGAACCTGCTCCTGACCTGTACAGCAGAGGTGCCTTCTCTCCACACCTTCCCTCCTCTTCCCAACTGGAGAAACCTGGCCAACATGGTCTGCTGTTCCACTTCTGGAATGAAAGCAAGACCATGGGCTAATCCGAAGTGTTTGCCCCTTTCCTCCTCTGGAGTAAGATGCCGTTTTGGCTGCTGGAGAGGTCCCTTGGGGCACCAGCAGGACCCAAGAGCATAGCACTGTGCTTGGGGAAGGCCTCTCCAAGGAGGTAAGGGCTTGCTGGTGGAGTCTGTTTGCCAGTCAAGGTGCAAAGGACTTCTGGAAGGATCAGCATGTGCGAGGCAGAGACTGGAGAGAGCATATTATATACAGGGACCTTGAGTGTTGCAGGCGCCCAATACTATGCCGAAGCTGGGGAATGCAAGCAGCAGAGGGCAAGTTGGAGTTACTATTGAGGCTCTGTGAATGGCACATTGAGTAACAGTAAATGAGAGGAAGGTGGGTGTTAGCCCCTAGGGTCTGCAGGAGCCAGGACAAATGGTATGCCGTTGGACATTCTCTTCATAGAGGACCTGCTTCCCTGCCCACCTTTCCTGAAAGCCAAATTGATACACATGACATTTTTGTCATCTCAACCCTCATGCCTTAAAAGTGTTAGAAAGAAACTTTCTGCTTTAACACGTTAAGGTTTGGATGGCATCATATCCTTAAAATATGGAAAAAGCAATTTCTTGGGCCCATCAAGAATCAAAGTTACATAGAAGGGGAGGCAAAGCTAAGAGACAGACATGAACGAACAGTCCAGGAATACAGATCCACTGAAGAGACTGACCTGAAATTACATAATGCATCCCCTTCCATAAACCTTACCACCACGTCAACAAGTTCCAGTTTTACAATAGAGTTATAACTAAAAGAACTTCAAGGCAAGGCACAAGTTGTATTTAAGAAGTTGTTTGGGAAACCTAGTCAGCATAGTAGTAGTATACCAAGGACATTAAAGGATTTAGAGCCACTGACATGTAGAGCTACAGTAATTGTTAAACTCAGTCCTGAAAACCAGTCTGGATTTACCTTAAATAAACTGAACATGGAGCCTTCCTGGTGGCCTAGAGGTTAAGTCTCAACACTATCACCACTATGGCCTGAGTTCAGTCCCTGGCCAGGGAGCTGACCCACATGGTACAGCAGACCTCTCCTATTTTCTGCTGCTCCCCTCAGCAGTATATTCCAGTAGATTCACTTGTTCTGCTCCCCATGGTGTCTCTGGTGAATCCTCTCACCAGCTGTATCTCCGGCCTACACCCCAATTCTATGTAACAATCTAATACTAATAAAAAATAAAAATGAAAATACCATACAACTCAGCAATCCCACTGTTGGGCAGCCAAAGAATATGCAACGGAATAAAGAAAATCCCATACATTCCATAATTTAATAGAATTATTTACAATAACTAGGACATAGAAATAGCCTAATGCTCATTAATGATAATTAGATCAAGATGTGGCATATTACATAGCCATAAGAAATGATGAAATACATTTTTAACAATGGAAGTTGAGAGAATTATATGCAGCCAAGTCAGAATGATAAAAAAACAAATATTGCCCATTTACATAGTTTGATAATGTAAACCACAAAAAAACTAGTGACATTAATAAACTTCCTAAGAGGCAAAGGGAAAAATAAGGGAAAACAAGGGGTGGTAGGGATTAAAAATAAAAAGCAAAATTAACAATAAATGTAACATTAAACTCAGTCTGACTTCTAGCCAGACTAACATCAAATCTCACATCAGTCTTTTACCTAATAAATCATGTATTACGAAGGAAGTTTAAAGGCGGGGGGAGACAAACTGAAGAGACAATGCAAGTATCAGAACCAAACTCAGATATGCCACAGGAAATTTAGAAGAACTATGAATAATATGTTAAGGGAGCATGGAAAAAGTAGACAGTATAAGCAAGAACAGATGAATAATGTAAGCAAAAACATGGAACTCAAAGAATCAAAGCACATGCTAGAATAAAAAATGCCATAACAGAATGAAGTATGCTTTTGATGGGCTCTTTAGTTGACTGGACAGTCAAGGAAAGAACCAGTGAGTTATAAAATATGACTGTAGATCGAGATGGGAAAAAAAAGTACAAAATGATGTAAAAATAAACTTTTGTAAAAAAAATATGACTGTAGAAAATGGAATGCAAGGGAAAAAGAACAGCATATCCAAAGATTGGTACAAATTCACTGCAACTTGAACAACTGGACCATCACAAGGAGAAAAAAGAACAGAGACACTTTAGAAACTTGGATATGTATTTCTAAAAAGTTAGAAAAAGAAATAAATGAAGATAATGTTAAACTTTGATTTCTAATTTGCTTTATTTATTTATGCATATAGAACCGGGGTATAGGCCAGAGATGCAGGGGTGGTGAGAGGAATCACCAGAGACAGAGTGGGGAGCAGAGCAGTCAGACTGATGAAGTACACTTCTGAGGGGAGCAGCAGGCGAACCGGGAGAGGTCTGCTCTGTCATGTGGGTCACCTTCTGGGCTGAGGATCGAACTGGCACTAAAGCAGCTGCAGCTAGCTTGCAGTGCTGCGTCCTAACCTGTTGCACCACCAGGGAGGGCCGGAATTCTTATCCTTTTTTTTTTTTTTTTAAGATTTATTTATTCATACAGAACTGGGATACAGGCCAGAGATGCAGAGGGTGAGAGGACCCACCAGAGACAGAGTGGGGAGCAGAACAGGCAGATCAACGAAGTACACTGCTGAGGGGAGCAGCGGGCGGGTCAGGAGAGGTCTGCCGCGCCATGTGGAACTCCGGGGCAGGCGGGGATCGAACTCATGCGGAAGTGGCTTTAGCTTCTCAGTGCTGTGCTTTAACCTGCTGCGCCACCAGGGAGGGCCTGAATTCTTATTCTTAACTGATAAATTAGGTAATGTTCAAAGTAATAACAGCAACAGTGTGTTGGGGATGATAGTGTAGGGAGAAGTAAAATGAGTTATATCATGTTACATGTTACAAGGGTCAGGAGAGGGGAATTAGGATTACTTTGTTATTAGCACCATCTGTGAGTGCTAATGTAATTTTAAAATGGACTTAGGTTACTTATAAATCTATATTTCAACTCAAGGGCAGTGAGTTAAAATATTTTAAAAGAAGTATAGTATAATAAAAGGGAAGAAAATTGAATTAAATAAAATTCCCCATTAGAACCAGAGAAAACAAAAAAATTAGAAGATAAGGAAAAGAAATAAGTACAAGTACAATTAATAGCAAACAGCTACAGATATGTTAGGTATTAATTCAGTTATATCAATAATTTTTTAAGATATGAATATTCTAAATACACTAATTAAAAGGCAAAGAATGTCAATCGATTTTTTAAAAAAGACCCAACTATGTGTTGTCTACTTAAAATGTAAAGACCCTTTAAATATAGATACAAAGAAGTTACAAGTAAAGGGATAGAGAAAGACATGCCATGCTAACATTAATAAAAGAAAGCTGGAGTCACTGTATTAATTTCAGACAAAGCAGTCATCAGAGCAAGGAAAACCATCAGAGATAAAGAAGTCAGTACTCCCATTGTTAAATTCATGTGTGATGACCCCTAAAAACAGCATCAAATTTTGTGATGCAAAGATTATTATAATTGCAATATAAATAAACATATCCACCGTGATGGTCGAGACCTCAGCACCTCTCTACCCACAACTGGCAATTCAAACAGGCTAAAAACCTGTCAAGATGAGGCCAAAATGAACACCACCATGGACCCTCTGAACCTAATTAACATTTAAAGATACTCTGCCCAACAACAGAATGCACTTTTTTTCCAGCTTACATGGAGCATTAATCATGATAGACGCAAACCTTAACAAGTTCAAAAGAACGGAAACCACACAAAATTTGCTCTCATATGAAATTAAACTAGAAATGAAAAACAGGAAAATAGACAGAAAATTCCAAAATAATTGGAGATTCAACACTACCACATGATTCAAAGAAGTCTCAAGAATAAATTTAAAATGGTTTGAACTAAATGAAATTGAAAATACAAACAGTCAAAATTTGTGGGGTGCAGTGAGGGAAATTTATAGCATTAAATGCAAATATTAGAAAGAAAAAAAATATAAAACCAGTAATCTTAACTTCTACTTCAGGAAACTAAAGAAGGAAGAGCAAAAGTAAGCAAAAAAAAGACATAAAAATTAAAGTAAAAATCATTAACATTGAGGGCCCTCCCTGGAGGCACAACAGGTTAGAGTGAAGCCCTGCAAACTAGTTGCAGTTGCTTCAGTGTGAGTTAGATCCTTGGCCCTGGAGGTGACCCACATGGTGCAGCAGATCTCTCCTGTCTTGCCCACTGCTCCCCTCAACAGTGTACTTCATCCATCTGCCCTCTCTGCTCCCCACTCTGTCTCTGGTGAATCCTCTCACCACCCCTGCACCTCTGGCCTATACTTCAGTTCTGTATGCATAAATAAATCTTTAAAAAAAAAAGAAAAAATGCTATAAAATATCATTAACATTGAAGACAGAAAATCAATAACAAATCAATGAGAACAAGGTCTTGTTCTTTGAAAGGGTCAATAATTCGATGAAACTCTAGCCAGGCTAAGACAAGAGAGAAGACACAAATCACTAAGGGGTTATCACTACTGAACCCATGGATATCAAAAAGATGATAGGAGGATCTCACCAACAGCTCTATGCTGACAAATCCGATAACCTAAACGAAATAGACTGATTTCTTGAAAGACACCAACAACCAGAACTCCATATCTACTATGGAAATTGAACCAACAACAATACCCTTAAAAAAAAAAAAGAAAAGCCCAAAGGGTTACACTGGTGGAGTCTAGAAATACACTGAAAAAGTTATACCAATTCTCTGTAATCACTTTCAGAAAATAGCAGAGGGAATACATCTTAACCCATTTTACTAGGTTAGCATTTTTCTGATCTGATACCAAAACCAGAGGAAACATTAGAAGAAAGGAAAATTACAGTCCAAGAACATCCCTCATGGCACAGGGGTTAAAGTTTCAGTCCTATCAAGCTTTCACCAGCCAATGGAGCATGAGCATGGCTCCCAGGTGACCAGGGAGCTGACCCAAATGGCGCAGCACACCTCTCTTGACCTCCCCGCTGCTCCCCTCAGCAGTGTATTTCAGTATATCTGCCTTTTCTGCTCCCCATTCTGTCTCTGGTGAACCCTCTTACCCCCCGCACCTCTGGCATGTACCCCAGTTCTTCTATGACAAAAAAAAGTGGTATAAGTAAACTGAGGCATATCTCATGTTTGTGACTGGAATACTCAATATTGTTAAGATTTTCATTTTTCCCAACTTGATAAAGAGTCAATCCAGCCCAGCAAACTGTTCTGTAGATATCAACAAACCGTTGATAAAGTTTGCAAGATCCAGACTAGCCAACACAATCCTAAGAATAGGTTTGAAAAATTGGGTCTCATGTTAAAACGGGGTGTAGGCCAAGTGTTGCAGCGTCAGGCTGGTGGAAGGGGTAGAAAAATGTTGTTAACAGTGCTGCAGGCCTCAATACACTGGGGTTCATAAGAGATGAGATGAGGGCGATGATGTAAAATCAGTTATAAAAAGACTACCTGAGAATTTTTATAGTGACAGTATTTTGCATTATAGAACACTGAACCTGAGCAGGGTAGCAGGCCTTGCCTAAAGAGCTGTGGACAAAATATGAAGGGATAAATTCCACCTTTAACGATACCTGAAAGAGGCTATTAGAAGAGTGGGCAAAGAAACAATCATGTAGTTGAAATCTGTGGTTGCAGCTGTCCTCAAAGTATTTTTATGAAGTTGGTTAAATCTGAAATGTACCGTTTAGGACTTATGTGAGCTGCAAATATGTACTGTAAATGTTAGGGGGGAAAAGTTAAAGAACTCAAGTTCTTCAAGACTTACTACAAGCTATACTAATTAAGACAGTCTGGTATTATTAAAGGAATAGACACACACATCAATAAACATTGTAAGGAACCTAGAAACAGACCCACACATGTATCTGATCTTTGATAAAGCATAAAGGCGATACAATGGAGTGAACATAGTCTCTTC